ACTTGAATCCACGTTTATCTTTAAATGCTCTTTTTTGTGTAGGCAGTAGGTATCATATGTTTTTATGTCTATATGAAAAAAGTCACTAGACTCTTCTGTGTCAGTAAGTAGTGGAAGCATTCAGTATCCAGTGGTCTGAATTAGAAATTCATGTCATGATTACCACAGTAGAATAAAACTTTCGGCACATGAATACTTTATTTTAAAACAAACTTTAACTGAAAAGTATCAGAAGCCGAGTGGTTTGCTCACCTTTCCTGGGATATGTCATATGTTTTTGTCATATAGACTATTGATATAAAAGTGATGTAGTTCACGAAATGGCAATCTAATGCCTCCATCAGCATATGAAATATGTGGCCACTGGTTTGTCTTTTGTTTGGTTAATGCTGTTGTGAAGTATAAATTACCCTAAAAATGATCACCAATTGCTTAAAATATTTCATAATGCTGTACATTGTGTTCTCAGCAATTTCACAAAATGTAGAATGCTAAATGCATTGGAGGAGGAAGATATTTGTATACAAGTAACTGTACATGAGGTAAATGATGAAAATTAAGACTTAAATAACAGGTGCTGGCATCCCCTGGAATAGGTATTTTATAGACCATTTGCATTTAGAATCACCTGGCAGATCTGTTCAAAGGATTCCAGAGACCCGCTAAAGACCCACCGAATCAGTCTGTGGGGATGAGGCACTGCATTACAATTTTTTTTTTTTAGTTTAATTTTTTATTTTTTGGCTGTGCCGTGTGGCTTGTGGGATCTTAGTTCCCTGACCAGGGACAGAACCCAGGCCCTGGGCAGTGAAAGCCCCAGTCCTAACCATTGGACTGCCAGGGAATTCCCAGGCCCTGCGTTTTTCACAATCATCCCAAGTGATTCTAGTCACATTAGAGCTTGAAAACCATTGCTCTAGGACTAGGGGCATGAACTAGATGCCATATTTTGTAGCTGGAATGTTCAAAATGTAAACATGTTCTCAAGGAGAATGCTAACACATGTTTAAAATGTGTCACATTTTCTCTCTTCTGTTACATTACCCTAAGCTCTGAATAAGGGCATGTATCGTTCTGTGATTAATTAATTGATTAACTGGTTGACTGACTCATTTATTCCTTCACTGACCAAGTTACTGGGCATCATTTATGAGCTTGGCACTATTCTGGTGGACCTTTTCTTGTTGTTAATAACAGCTGATAACCTTATAAGGCTGCAAGATATTCCTTACAACAGTTTTTACATGTAAGATGTTCAACAGTTCTTCATTGGATATTGTTGAATAAACGAGAATAAATGCATTCATGGATCCTTCTTGCACCATAAAAAAATTATTGTGTGTCATGATAATAAGTCAAACAATGATTTCCTTAATTACCAACTCTTTGTAATGAAGCAAAGATATGACTAAAAACCCCAGTCCTTTCCAGTACCTACAGATTTTAACAATTTCTTAAAATAATCATTGAAAATGACCGCTACTTGAAAATTACACAAAGGCATCCCAAGGTCACAAAATGGAATTTTAAAAGCCTCATTTCAGTGACTGATATTCAGGAGATTTGCTTCTCTTTAGAGAAAACCATGAAGACTGAATTTTACAGCATAGAAAGTATGCAGCTACAAGGTCTTTTAAAAGATATCCAACAAAGAATGGATAATATGTATAGTGATAGAAAGCTTAGGTGTGTGTGTGTGTTATTTATGTATTAAATACCTTTTCAGTAGTTTGTGACTGGCATTAAACACAAGAAAATGACCTAACTTTCACCTAGAATGTTCTAACTGGAGATAATCTTAGAGATTATCTGGTATATTCCCCTAACTTAATATGTGTGGAATATGAAACTCAGAAAATATAAAGAACTTGACCTACGCTTACTCACCTAACTAGCAAAATCACCATCACTAATCCTTGGATTCGATTCCTGTTTTTCAATTTTACATTTTTTGTAGTATCACACCGGCTTCTATAAATATAAATATGTGTTAGTTCCTCTAAACAGAACCAGAAGGCTGATAATCTACCATGTTTTTAATTTCTTCATTGTCTATTTTGTAGCCAAAGAGAGAAAGGAGTGGCAAGAAGAATTGGCCAATATTTTAACTGATTCAAAATCTGTTCACCTCAAAAGGAACTCAAAATTCTAAAATGTACTTGGGAGTTCCATGAGTTAAAAATAGAGTATAGATTTAAACCCCAAATAACTAAATGTGTAAATTAAGTGTGTGCACTTACTGCCATGTCTTTTAGACTCCAAGATGTAGTGCAATTAGCATGAGAGGAAATACCCTGAAAGGAGTGTCTAAAATCACAAGTGCTAGGAGAAAGGTGCCCCTTAGCTTCACACTGCAACATCCTAACAGGTTGTAACTGTGACATTGAGTCAGATCCTGTGCATGAGAATAAGGAAGCTGCCCTACCATCAGGCATTTAGATAAGTGGAATTCGGGTTAAAAGGAAATGACAGTCATTGCAACAGTAGCCATTTGTTGTGACTATGGGAAGGGAAGACAGACAAAATACTCAAAGTAGCTTCTTGCAAAAGAAAAACAAAACAAAACAAAAGACAAAAGTCTTCATTTTAACGAAACACCATACAAAACATAACCAATTACAGACTACCTAAAATTGTGGGAGGATTAGTTTAAAAGAGTTCTGACCACACAATCAGCCTTTTATTTATTTTATTTTTTATTTTTTTGCGGTACGCGGGCCTCTCACTGTTGTGCCCTCTCCCGTTGCGGAGCACAGGCTCCGGACGCACAGGCCCAGCAGCCATGGCTTACGGGCCCAGCCGCTCCACGGCATGTGGGATCTTCCCGGACCGGGGCACGAACCCGCGTCCCCTGCATCGGCAGGCGGACTCCCAACCACTGTGCCACCAGGGAAGCCCACAATCAGCCTTTTAAAGAGATTCTTTGACAGAGATTTAAATAGAGACGTTCTCAGCTTTAGGAATATCATCTCCTATTAATAATTAATTCTATCAAGTTATCTCAGACTGCCTATTGGTTCCCATTAAACAATCAACAATTACACATTATGAACCCAGGGTTTGCTTCAGAAAGGTCGGTGGGGGCGGGGAGGGATGATTCATACGTTGAGCATCTAATAATTTTTAAATATTTAAAATTTCTTAAATTTCCTCCCAGTTTATCTGCAAACAGCATTAGTTAATCAATGAGCAAGAACAATTGTGCAATGACGAACCACCCACAAGTCAAGGTGTTATCTCTAGCACACAGCAGAGTCCTTGGTGCACAGAGGGCATGCAATTAAGTCTCAACATCCTTCCTGAGTTCTCCTTGTGGAACTCTTGTAATTAGTAGCTTTTTCCAAAACGTTCAATGAAAGGTAAAAAATAAGCTTAAAATAAACAAACAAATGAAAACTCTAAAGGGAACATACAAGCCAAAATTTGCTGCCTCCTCTTTGTACTATCACCTGTATGGGAAGGGAGAGTAATATACTAGTGTTTAAAAATGCAGTTCTGAGTTCATACCCCACTGGAACATCCTACCCACGTGACCTTGAATAAGTTATGTTACATCTCTCTCCATAAATTTATCACCCTGTTAAATGGAGTTAATGATAGTATCTTCCTCATAAGATTGTTTTGGGGATTAAATGTGTGTTGCATATGAAGGGGCAACGCTGTGATTGGTAGAGAGTAAATATCCAATAAATATCAACTATTATTATTACCATCAAAAAGATGGTGGCAGTTATAACTACTCTGAAATCTGAGATCCTTTGTAATGCATGCAATGAAACTTAATAAACGAAAAATTGGTGCTTATTAAATAAATTCCTGCTAAACTGATTAGAGTCAATTATGTTCACACAATGGCCTTGTTTTACCGCTTTCTCAGTCATTAAGACACGTAAAAGTTCTCAGCACTAAGAACTGCCTCATGCTAACCAGGGAAAAGAGGAAGAGCTCATTTGCTCTTTATATGGACACCAATGCTAGATTTGAGAGCTTCAATGTACAGTAATGTTGCCATTTTTCCCCTTCATCTAGAGTTTACCAAGTTCACTAATTTACAGCCATGCTAACATTCTCAAAAACCACTTCAACATAAGATTCATATCTTTAATTTCTTTTTCATGTAGCAATAGCAAAGTACATACATCTGACCATCCTTGACTATAAGACTGAGAGCATCACCCAATTTACAATTTAAAAACTTATAATCGAGCCCTGGTCTGGGAGGATCCCACATGCCGCGGAGCAACTAGGCCCGTGAGCCACAACTACTGAGCCTGCGCGTCTGGAGCCTGTGCTCCGCAACAAGAGAGGCCGCGATAGTGAGAGGCCCGTGCACTGCGATGAAGAGTGGCCCCTGCTCGCCGCAACTAGAGAAAGCCCTCGCACAGAAACGAAGACCCAACAACAGCAAAAATAAATAAATTAATTAATTGTTTAAAAATACTAATATATTAAAAAAAGAACTTATAATCACATTTCACAAACAAGGCTGCCTTGCTATTCCAACTAAAATATTATGAGGCTTATGAGGAAACTTGCAACGATAAATTTTAAAACAGTTTGTAGAGAGTAACTGAATAACATCTTTATGAGAACAAGTATCAGGGGATTGATAGAATTTGTTAATAGCAACAATAACAAGAAACATTTAGGAAGCTTCTGCTGTGTGCCAGACACTGACTAACTCTTAAGTGCCATAAGTTTCTCCAATTTGAAGATGAGGAAACTGAGGCACAATGAAGCAATAAGCAGTCTGATCCCTGAGTCCAAGTTCTTACCCATTACTCTACATACGGATGTTGTGGCTTCTATAAATGTTATAATCATCAAGTATAGCATATAGATATAGAATATAGATATATTCGAGCCAAATGCTCCAAACGCTAAACCAAAATCTCTGCTTTGAATTGTTTTTAACCTTTACGGCCATGGAAGAAATAAACAAAGAGCACACTTTGAAATTTAGAATGGAATGCATAAAGACACCAGCGAATCACTCCTACCTCAAGTCTGTCTGTCCGCATTAATTTCTGTGCAGCAGCTGCAGCAGCTGCAGGTACAGGGACCCCAGGATTCCCTGTAACCAACATTGGTGCAGTCGGCAAGATCTCTGCTGGAACCAGGCTTGGGGAAACAGGTCCCAGGTAGGGATTAAAGGCTGCTGATGCATTGGTGGCTAAGCTTGGTGCAACTGAAAACATTGGCTGAAAAATAAAATACAAAGCAAAATTTAATCGGCAGGGCTTGGGTCAAAGTTGATATCCTGCATTACATATCTATCCTCCATCCATGTATCCATGCATCCATTCATAATCCATTCT